CGGCATCTCGGTTGGCAGAACTAGGGCCGGGAGGTAGAAATTACAGATGCAATTTGACTCCTTTAAGCCTGTTTGAGAGCTGTTCCAAAAAGATACGGGATGCCAGGTGAGGTGGAAAGTGCCTTGTCTCTGGAAGCATTCAAGCAGAGAAAGTGGATCCAGGGACACTAGATGGAGGAGATACCTGCAGTCTCGTTTACAATCCATATCTTGTGCCAAGGAGCAATGGAAGAACTTATATCAAATCTCAGCCTCGTGGGGTCACATTTAAAATGAAATGAATAATAGCATTAAAGTACTGAATCCAATGCCACCTGTTTTCAATTCTGAGCAGCCGAGAGACCTGCCAGTGCTTTCTTGCTCCTCCCAGTCATGAGGTCTGGCAAGGCTTCTGGCTTCCCCCGCTGCCCCCAGCTTCCTTGAGCCTTAAAAGTTGCATTTGTTCCTTCCCGATGAGAAAGAGGAGCCACCAGCATCAGGCAATGGTGGTTATAGATCAGTTCTTAAAATTACTCCCTGACTCGGGACCTCTTTACCTCCACTGGCGTGTGCCTGCAGCTGCCAAATACTCACCCACAGTCGCCCTCCAAGGCCCTGCCCTGTGCCTGTGCAGGCCGGTCTCCTGCCCGAGAGCTCGGAGCTCAAGGTGAAGAGCAACGTACCCCTCCCTCTAGTGGCTCAAGCAAAAACACTCCGGCCCTACCAAGAGCCAGAGCAAGACGCTCTGGAGCCATCTCTCGGGGTGGAAATTCCAAAGCTTCCCGGAATTAATCCCACACGGAGAGACGGGCACAGGGCTATGCCAAGAACTGCCTGCTGGGACCGGTGGGCGCCCACCTCCCAGCCCCACTCCATCTGTTACAGGCGTCTGGTAAGGGCTGAGTTCGGCGATGACGGAGGGCTGGTTGTCTCATCACCTTGCTATTTGAGGGAACAAACTGCCCTGCTTTTCTTAAACTCTGAGCTCAGAGTTTCCTCCCTCTACACCTACTTGACATCTTCTGAAGTTGTGTGTGTCGGAGGGAGAGGGGCTGGTGACAGGTCCACGACCTTCACTCCAAGGCAGCTGGCTCTCTTCCGGTTTTGGCTACTCTAGTGGAATGAAGAGATCAGTCAGATCTGCGCCTTGCTCGCGCCCCACTCAGGCTGGCAGGTACCGCCTTTCGACCAGCGGATTTCCAATCGGTGTCTGGGAAATTTAAGAAGTGGAACTCGGGCTCCAGTGGGTTTGCCTAGTGTCACTGCCCAACCTCATCCCGGCCAGCAGAGAGGGGGAAATGCACGCTGGCCGGGGAGCCACGTCCCGAGCGTCTGCCCTCCCTTCCAACACAAAAACTCCATGTCAGAAGCTGGGCCGCAGCCCATCTCAGACTGAGATAAGATCCTGCTCCCGAGGATGACCTGAGCAGCACACCGTCCCCGCCAGGCCCCGCCGCTCCTCTCCGCCCCAGTGGTAGAGCTCTCCCCCCGAAGCGCCATCACCCCGTGTGCCTGTTGCTCTTGCACAGACAGAGGAGGCGCTCTGGAAAAAGTGTCCACCAGTTTCCATGTAACGTCAGCCCCCGGATGCCCCGGGACTCGTGACAGAAAGCCTCCCGAAAATACAAGAACGGAAGACAAACAAAACCTGACACTTGGCGGCCCGGATGGCGCATTCTTGCCCGTGGTCGCTGGTCGTACGAAGGAGCCCTGGGACATGTGAGGCTGGACAGGAGACCACGCAGCCTACATCCTTGGCACCCTGTGCGTGTCGTGGTGAGGCCGCGTTCCCCTCCTGCGGCGACATCTTTCTCCCTCCAGCACCCATCAGAGGGCCACGTTTCCTTTTCTGAATGAGCCATTCAGTACCGAGGTTTCCTGGCCCTGGCCAAGTTACCTGCTCTACACCCCACTTCTGTCCTCCTCGCCCCCCAGGCCCCACCTGGCCGGCACGTGTACGGAAATGGGCGGGGTATGGGGTCTTCTTGCCTACTCCTCTCACCACTGTGACAGCCCTTGGGTAGCAGAAGAATTCTGTATGACGACACTGTAACAGTTAAGCCCCCTGGGTAAAGGACTCAATTTCCTATACTATGTGCCTCTCACAAAGCACATCAATTGGGAAAGAGAGGAGTTCTCTCCCCCATGCATGCATGCTCGAGAGCCTCCTGTGGGAAACAGCCGAACGAGGTCACGGAGGAAGGCTCACGTCATCAAGGCACGGCTAAGATCAGCCTGAAATCCTTATCCCCTTTGCTCAACACAGATGGGACCGTTTTTACTCCGTTCTCTAGCTGGTCTGTGACACAGTCAAAGGGTAGCAGTAGGGAGAGAGGTCTGGCTCTCTGGCCTTTCAGAATAGACCAAAGGTAGACAGACTCTGGCTGACATGAGATGTGGTCGGCTGATGGCTGATGTCTCTGGTTCCCACACATGGATTTAAATGACCAGAGGAGGAGGGGTGGAAAGGTTTGTATTCTGAGTACACAGTGAATTGGAAATAATTTTCAACTCACTTTCAAACCAACTGCCTGAGCTGAAGGAAGAGAACAGGAATGAAATGCATGAAATTCTGATACACATTTAACCTACTTAAAAGAAACTGACAGGAAAAATAAAATTTCAGATGTTTTTTATTCAAAGGTTCTCAAAAGAAATAAAACAGAAAAAGCTAACAATCTGATCAAATGTACAGTTCAAAAATGTCTTTTGGCGTTTAACAACAAGTCCTAGGAAGGAAAACTACAGAGTTATCTTGAACCGGACAAATAAGTTACCACTGGCAAGTTTGTGGCACTAGTAAAACAAAAATAAAAAATTAACTCTCTTGATCATATAGATATCTCTATGAAAATCTTTTTTTTCAATCTGTACAAAAAGGTCTTTCTTCATAAATTAATTTTTTTATAATTTAATGGCTGTCTACTATGTGATGTTTAACTGATTTTTTTTTATTTTTTATTTTTTATTTTATGTACAGAGGTTATGTTTCCCAAATCTTACCCAGACGAGTATGGCACTTAATTCAGACATATCTAGCAGCAGATTTCCCCTCCCCTCTAACCGAGCTATCAAATTTCTGTCTTAACTAATGCAAAAATATCAAGTAGTGAGAGACCCAGGTTTATAAATGTACTAGGTCCAAGGAGGGTGCTGCGTTCAGTCTGGACTTTCACAAAGCAGTAATATTCCAGGGAGCATAGAACCAATAATACCACAACTTTAAAAAAGGAAACAAAAACAAAAACAAAACACATTTCTCTTAGGACTATGTAATTTTCACTAGAATCTACACTTCTCAGAGCAGCAAGGACTTTTGAAACTATGAAATGTCACTGACATCTATAATCAAATACAAGCATAAAATTTAAGAACTAAAAAATACTTGAAAGAAAAAACTGCTTAGCCCTAGCTCCTGAGCTAGGAGGATTTGGTCTGTGGAAACAGGGAGGGCCAGCAACCTGTCCCAGCACAAAAGAAAACAGACTCTGAGGTAGATAACTGATCACACACAGTTGACCAGACAAGTACACAGTTTTGGAAGACAACTTAATTTACCATTGCTTTTCAAACGTATGCAATTGTCTTAATAAAAGAGCTTCAATAACAGTGAATTATCTTCTATGTACTAAAGTAGAAATTACTGTGTATTTATGAATCAGGAATTTCATAGTTTCAAAATTGGTTTCTCTTTACACTTAACACTTGTAGTGATGATGTAAAGTGTGGCACTGCTTGGATCCAAATCTTCCTTCATGCTTTTTTGTTTGTTGGTGTGTGTCCATACATCAATTAAAATTATAAAACCTAAATGCAAAGGTACAAAAAAGGCACATTCTCCTAACCGCAAACTGGTCCGGCAAAAATAAAGAGCACAGAAGATATGACGCTGAGAGAAGGTGGAGCTACTGGTTACTGGCTCTTCGGTCTTTGGTGAAGTTACCTTTAAAAGTGCCAAGTAATTTTGATTTCTCAAATTTATGTAATAGAGAGAGCTAGTAGCCAATTGTTTTGCTTCTATTCCTACCTCAGCTTATGTTTAAAGATAAAATCCTTACTTTTAGCTTTTGCCATTTAGTTGCAATAGCAACGTTTTTCGGTTTGCCAGATCTCAGGCGTAATTCTCAGTCTAAAGCACTATCATTAGTATAAAGGAAGGACAAAACATTCGGTGACTCCCCGCCCCCACCCCCCTCCCCACCCCCAACCCCAACGCTACCTACACTAAATCTAGAACATCGAGTTAGTTTTTTTTTTTCCTGAAAAAAGGCAAAAAAGACTTTACATTGCATCATACAGCAGATACCCTAAATCAGTCAAACTATCAGAGGAAACTGTTGGCGAACAGCCTTACAAACAAGTTACCCTATTAAAAGTTCCCCAGTCAGAAAATGTGTTTCACACAAAACATTTTTCCCTTCTTGCATTTCACTACCTTACACATTATGTGAAAAATCATTAAAAACACCCACTACATATTTAAAAAAGCCAAATTTTCAGCAACTTTTATTGACTACCTTTTAAAAGCCCTATGCTGCTGTTTTACAAGGCATAATAGACCAGCTCATTTGGTCAAAGCGTTCTACATCATTAGTTTGAACTAACTTTTACTGAAACAGCTACAGCATCAAAGGAGTTAAGGCAAATTGGAATTCATAGAAAAGGAGAAGACACTTCACACTACGTTGAAAGAAAAACGGAAAAGCTAAGAAGAGAGACGTGGAGGGCAACACTGGATACAGCGACACTCACACTCGCAAGCATGGAACACCATGGGGGAAGTCGGACTACTTAAACGTCAGAGCCCACTGCATACAGCTGAAGAAAACGCAAATTAAACACAAAATGGACAAAAACCACAAAAATCCGGTCATGCACTTGGATAAGTCTTCATGGTCTTTGTGCATACCCAGAAAATTGAAGTTTTCTTTTTTTTTTCTTTTTTTCTTATTTTTTTTTCTCTTTTTTCCTTTTTTTTTTTTTTTTTGCATCGTAACATTTGATAAAAATCTTTTGTTTTGTTTTTGTTTTTTTGTTTTTTTTTGTTTTTTTTTTTTTACTAAAATAAACCTGTTCAGGGGAACAGCTACTAGATGAATTTAAGGGTTTTATGCACCTTATAGAACTTATAGCAAAAATAGTTTTAGTTGATTTCATTATAAATAACGTTTTCAAGAACCTGTGCAAAACTGTCAATAATTTCCTAAAGCACAATTGATCAGAAAAATCCATGATTGTTCAGCCTTCACACCCTTCTTCATGTAAGAACGCCGTTCTGTACATCTGGAAGAGAAAAATAAAAGACAAATGCTTTTGTACATCTGGTATAATCTACCACAGAATTCTGTAACCTCCTTCTCGTTTCAGTGGTATACAGGTTTGAGAAAGGCAAGATGGTGCTGGTCACTGGTGGCAGGCCAACAAACGCTGGGACAGATGGTAGTTTCTAGAACCTGACTCCACCTTTCAAACCTGGGGCCTGCAGCGTACTTTAGACCAGAGCAACCAGAGCTCTGGATCGAAGGATATGGACATTAAATTCATAGTCAAGATATTGCTCCTCTTTAATACCAGATGAAGCAAAATCTTTCGCAGTATTTCCTTCAACTTGTGAGCATGAAAGCAATATAAATCTGGATGCATGCACTGCAGGACAAATTTGACACCTGGTGTACTGACTTGTTACAAATTTCTAAGGTGGGAGGGGTACGGATAATGAGAAAGTAGCTATACACATTTGACTTCAATACAAGGCACTGTTCTTTTGAGCTAATCTGCAAATCCACAAGATATTAATATTTCAATAATACTGGATTTTTTGGCCATACTAAGGCAGTGTGACCAAACCTGAGCTATTCTAAGTACCATTATGATAACAGAATCATAGACTTTCCTTGAACTGAGCCCTATGGTTACAAAGATGTTTCCCTCATACCTCACAGTTACTTATTAGGTTGAAAGGAATATGGTGAATGGTCATTAGACGTCTCGACAGCCACCTGCTGCTGTCCACTTGCTTCCTACAACAAAGCAGGGCAGATAAAACATGAGCAATGACATCCAAACTCTGCTCCTCTCATCTAAGTTTTACATCTGAAAACACAAGTGCTCCTTAAAAGTGATTTTCTTAATATTATGTGGGATTTTCAAGGTCAGTGATTTCCCTGAGGAGTTAAGATGTCTTACAGACCCAAAGAACCTCCCACCTGAACATTTTATGAGTTGTCTCTTCAGGTCAAACTACAATTTATCAAACAAATATCTGATCTCTTGGAGCCAGATGTAACTTGGAATTCAATACATTCAGATTTTAGAATCTGAAAAATGGTAGGCATATGCCCTTCATCACAGAATATACCCTGTGGGGCCTAGAGCTACAACTCATCACCAAACACGCAGGCAGGTCTACACAGGAAGATATAAATATGCACAGAAAGTGGGCTAAGATTTTGTCTTGTATTAGTTCCCACTGGGTTTTGCCACAGGTCAGGTTTTTGCTAAAACAGTTATAAAGAGAATTTTTATTTTCAGATTTTGCTGTGTGTTTCAGAACTGCAGATAAGGGATTATGGGTTCTGATAATGGTGGTTGTCAGTAAGTACACAAATTTAAATCAATCAGTACAACACAAAACATAACAAGAATGCCCCAAAATAAACCAACCACAGTCCTAGGGATGTTTCTGCAATTGGAAGCTACGGGATCTGTCTAGTGAGTAGGATTGACTGCGATGATGAATTTCCTTGGAATTTTAAGGGTACTTTGCAGACAAATGCTATGCTTTTTGTTCAATCTTTTTTAAAAAATTATTTTAATTTCAATTCAATTTAGTTAACATATATTGTACTATTAGTTTTAGGGGTAGAATTTAGTGATTCATCAGTTGCATAGAACACCCTGTGCTCATTATATCGAGTGCCTGCCTTCATGTCCATCACCCAATTATCCTACCCCCCACCCACCTTCCCTCCAACAACCCTCAGTTTGTTTCCCATAGTTAAAAGTCTCTTACGGTTTGTCTGCCTCTCTGTTCTTATCTTATTTTTCCTTCCCTTCCCCTATGTTCATCTGTTTTGTTTCTTAAATTCCACACATGACTGAAATCACATGATCTTTGTCTTTCTCTGCTTTCTGTCCAATCTTAATTCAAGTGTCAGTGTTCTTCCATTAGCTATCCTAGCAGCCTCTATAAAAAAAAAAGGTATGGTTTGGTCCTCATTCCTGTTAACAATTCTGAAACATCAGTATTTTTTCAACTATTTTAATTACAATTAATTTCTTCTTATAGTTATTATTATTAACATAATCTTTGGTACTAGGATTGCAAACTCCAGCTTTATTTTAATTTGTGTGTAAGTATCCCTTTGCAGGAGACAAGATAGATTCTTGAAGGGTGTGAAACATGCTACAAGCTTGGAAAATAGTTCTGGGAGTCTGGGGGGTATGGCCAGGACACCGCTACACTAAACTGTATGCAGAGAATGATATTCCATGGTTGAAAATAACCCGAGCTCTAGATGCCCTCTAAACTCAATTCTTTATGCAAATATTTGACTTCTGATTGATTTTTCTTTCTGTTCTATCTAATCTACCCACTTCTGAAGCTACTCGTTGCCAGAACGGCCATCGCGTGGGTCTGTACCAACCTCAACGGGAACGGCTGTCGTCTGCACGTGTGTGTACTGCGGCAAATAAGCCCCTTGCATAGCTGATGTCGCAGGCATGTACTGAAAAGAAGAACATGGTCAGCATGGGAAATGATAAGCCATGCAAACATTCTGAGTGCTTGGAGAATTTTGAGATGGGAATGTCAAATTTTTGGAGCTCTCAAAGAAGAAATGTAAACAAGCTATCTCAAAGTTTAATTATCACGTGGAAAGCAAAGTAACTATTTCTACTTTTTGAATGTCGAACTAAAACTCCCACCTTTCTTTGGATTTCCCAACAAACAAATACATGCGTGAAGATCTTTAAGACTTCTCATTCTCAATACTCAGTATCACTAATGTGCTACTTTAGAAGATCTCATTTCAAAGCACCTCATTATTTTCCAGCAGCCCCCTGAACTAGTATTTAGGATTATTTTCACAGGTGGAGACCTAAGGAGTAAAGGACTTGTTGGATCTTTATCAGGTGACCGCAGAATAGGAAATGAACCCTTGCTTTCCTGATGCGGACGGCTATCCTTTCCCAAAGGCGGCAAAGCCTCCTTGCTGATCTCAAGGACCTGCCTGAGCCATCACAAGAAGCTGCTGCTGGGGTTTTGAACATAAGAGAGAAAAACACACTTCCCTTAGTTCTTTTTAGCACAAAGGATACGGTCTGAATTACAAGCCTTCGGCCATCTTACCATCTAAATGTTACGCTGATATATATCAACGCTGGAAGTTCCTCTGGTGTAGGCTCAACCTCAATCCCCAACCGAGTCTCCTGAACGCTAGAGAAGGAAGTCATCCTAAGACTGTGAGACAGCGCCCCCACCCAGTTCCGTAAAAGAAGTGAGGTGAGGAAAAATTCCCTGCCTTTACCACCATGTATCACTTTCAGTCTTTTGTTTCCTGACACCAAGTCTGCAGTGTGAATGAACGGCACTCGTTACTGGGGCTAGATGTGGTCATGTGGCTGCTAGATTCTGGGAGAGAGATACCCGAAGGACAGACATTTAGTTCATCAGTTAATCCCGTGGAAGGCGATGTGGGGGGTGAGAGGGGCTCGGACATAATCTTTGACATCATGGAGCCTGTAATTGATGGGGAAGACGCAGGCTGCATTAATTCACCCTCCTCTATTCGCTCAGACACAAGGTATGAATTGGCCACCTACTGTTCCGGTGCTGCCTAGTGACAGATGACTCATCTGCTGGGCCAGAGGGCTGATCATAGACGCGGGCTGTAGTGACATGGTGTGCTCCATCGAGGGAGTTAACACGGCCCCCTGCGGAGTTGGGAGACAAGCACAGTGTAAGATAAACTCACGGAGGGAGTTCAGAGTCTGTCATTCCTTCTGCAAAGGAAAATGCCTTAGTTGAGAAATGTGAAACCAAGATAACCTCCTCTCAAACTTGATTATGGTATCATAAACAATTTCCCAAAAACCTTCTAGGTAATGCTTCCTAAAACCTTTTTAAGAGCATTCATTTCAGGGCAATGACTGCATTAAACATCCTGCCTTTCCTTTCACTCACGTGTAAAGCAAGCTAGTCCAGCAGGAGGAGCTGCAGGAGGAAATGCAAACCATTTTCGGCTGGCTGCGGTTACCAAAATGCTTTCTTGATTTTTAAAAAAATAAATGACGGTTGATGTTTTATGCAGCCACAAAACAACAGGCCATCTTGAATATTTATAAATATCGTGTCTCATTTAAACATGTTCTGTACAGACAGTCATTTGACTCAAGATCAGGCTCTTAGGATCAAGATCCCATTCTCCATTCACTGTTTCTCAGAACCTCCAGGTATCATTTGGTGCCAAGGGAGGGAAGGAGATATGATTAATAATCCGACTTCAGATTCTTTGATTTCGTCTGAAAAAACCTCTGGTCATTAAAAATAAAATTAAATATAATTGAACAAAATGGGGTCAGGGGGAGATGAAAAAACAACAACAAAAAATCACCCACAACCCAGCCTAGCCTCTCCCTGATACAGGGCTGCTACTGGCACCATCAGGGTACGATCTCCCAGACTCTAGCCTTGGCACGTCTGCAGAGTCGCAACCAGGGTATGTAAACAATTTCATATCCTGGGTTTTTTGCTCTGAACATTCTGTTACAAATATTTACCTCGCTTGGTGCACAGCCATCATTATCATCATTTTTAATGACTGCATAATGGTACATTGACTGTCTCAACCGAAATTAAATTAATTCTATTTCCGTATTTTTGCATTTCCTCTAATTTATCCTATATAATATTCTTACGGACTGAATTATTCCTCTCACTTTTGCAATCACCCCATTACCTGAGAGTGCAATTATTCTGATACATCCTATCAATATTAATGTTACGTTTTTGATATTACTGCAACTGATCTATCTCTTCCACACACTGTCTTATTGCTAATCAGAACACAGCTGAGGTCTGAGACTGGAGCGCAGGCACTTTAATTCTGGGGGAGGGCAGTCTAAACTGGGTGGGGAAGGGGACCGAGTCCTCAGCTAGGAACGGTCTGCACATACTACCAGTCTCCTCAAAGATGTGAAACTGGGATATGCACAGGCTTTGTCTCTAGAAGTTGCCAAAAAAGACAGAGATATGTGTCAGAAACTGTTTGTTGTTCATGCAGTTCATAGAAAATTTGTTCCTTTTAAATTTTTAGTGTGCATCATCAGAAACTGTGTGGTAACATGGAAATGATTCAGAAGCCCAGAATATGCTGAAGGAATTTCCTGCTTCTTTTTTTCATTCATATATAGGAGCTACTGTCCAAGACTGTGCGTATGGAGACAGATAATGTGCACGTGTTTACAGAGACACACTCATCTGTCATCCGAGAGCTCGTCTCCTGTGTTATCAACTAAATGTGTTTTATCTGCTGCTTCAAAGTCATCTCAGCAACTTCCTGCTCAGAACTTGTCCCTGGAGTAGTTTCAGACATATGGTCTTATACTGCATGGTATCCTCCTTGGAGGTGTCCTGAGAGAAACTCCTGTCTCAACTTCAGGCCAACAGTGGTGTGCTTTCTCCCCTAAGCAACTGACCTGTTTTTCTCTTAAAAGCACCGGGAACTATTTTGCTTACTAGAATTCCCATTTTGCCTTAGTTATTAGAAAGCTTAGGGCCAAATCTGTGGCCTTCTCATGCCAATCATATAGGTCATTGTGTTGGGCACTGCTAGCTTTTTTTGTGACTTTGTACTCCGCCTTTATTTTTCACCTTTTAAAATGCATACTTTAACAAACTAGATTTTATGTATCTCTGAAAAACACATTAAATACACTATTAATGTGAAGTGTAACTCAATTAAAAAATATAATATGTACATATAAATACAACAAATGCTCAAGTCACTAAAGAAATCACAGTTACCAAAGAAAGTGTTACTGATTTAGTATTTATAATTTAGTATTTATAATTACCACAGAGGTTAAGTAAACTGATAAAAATCTCTAGCTTCCTTTTGAACACTTCATATTTGCATTAAACAGAATACAATTAAAATATGTCAGCTGTTTCATACCAACTACTGTTAAAAATACAGCAATTTAAAAACTTTAAAACTTCAAAAACTCAATTGAATGGCCTTCTACAAAACCGGTATGAAGAAGAAAATGGCACCCGGCTTCAAATATGAGAAATTTTCAGTTCTGACAACTGCACATTTGATTTAATGTCAACTACCAATATGTTTTATGACAAGTGTAGGAGGAAGTTTTATAACTAACTTATACATTCTTATATTCCATGCTTAAAATTTCCCAAAGCCTATACCACCTTTGGCAAAAGGTTTTAATCCAGAAAACTGGCTTCCAAATGTATACACAGCTTAGCTGCAAACCACAAAGCCATTAAGTTGAAAAACTTACGGGGTGCTGTAGGATATAGGGTTGAGGTTGCATCCAAGAAGGACTTTGCACCTGGAAAAGGGAGGATTTTGAAAAAAACATTGATTTCCACTGGAACATGCTACCTTTCTCTAGAGCTCTTTTAATCATGTTAAAATCTACAGAAGGAAAATAAGGAAGCAATACTATCAATGATTAAAAAGATTAAGGCAGTTAGAGTTCTTGGCAAGCTGGTCACTCTGAATAAGGATGAAACGATTATTTAAAACCAAGTTCCACTTGCCCATTCAAGAAGTATGTACTGAGTACCAGGCATCAAAGAGAAAAAGGCAAGTAAGACATGGGCCCCACCCTCAAGAAATTTACTAAGAATGGAGATAAACGAGCTAACAACGCAAATAGTGGAGTATAATCAAGGTATGAACTAGGCACTTTAGGAATACAGATGAATGAGAATTAATTCCAGCACATCTTATCACAAACTAATCCTTAAAGTATGTGCTTATTTAGAAAGAATAGCAAAATTCAATCCCTCTTTGATACCAGGATATTAGGTTTCAGAAATCTTGTTTGGTGGTCAACGATTTCTAGAGTGTGGAAAATACAAATCTAAATCAGATTTAGAAAATGAAAAACTTTCAAAATTTGGTACTGACATGTACAGTCAAAACGGCACCTGCACAGAAGACCCTCCACATCAAGGAGTAAGACGTGAGAGTCAGGGTCCACGGCAGGAAAGCAAGCCTGTGCAGCCTGCCACTCAAGAGAAAAAGTATCAGTCCATTTCTTGAGGCCCAGAGCTCTCCCAAGACTACGTAATTTTTAAAAAATTAGAATCCGTCTCTAACTCTTTAACCACAAAACCCTCCTGTAGCTTATCCCCTATGGTTAACTTCAGAGGTTCTATAGAAAGGATATGGGGAAAAGTCATGGGGGAAGAATGTATTGTGATTTACCTTGATAGCAGAGCCCCGATACTTGTTTTCTCTGGTTTCCTTTGCCACCTAAGGCAGACCAAAGTTAAGTGCTTCTGCCTTGTTAACATTTCAGTTATCTGGACTGCAGCCTTTCCCCGTTGGGGCACTGGTGGTTTCTCGCAGATGCCAATTTCTCAGATCCCATTGTATAAGCATATGGTGCTTTAGTGGAGAAAGGCCCACTCCAACGCGAGTGCAAGGCCTTCACTGAATAAATCATAGGGAGGAGAGCAGCTCCCTGGAGACCCCAACTGGGGCCAGATGCTCTCATTTTTGTTTGCTTTCAGTGGTCTTAATAATCTAATAGCTTATAGCATTTTGGGGTTAGGGAGCTAGAACACCTAATCCAATTTTCTTTCTTATGCAGCAAATCAGCTGCTCTCAATCTCTATTCCTCAATTTTCCCTAAGTGTAAAATGGGAATAATAATCTCTGTTCTTTGAGTTCTTTACCACTGGTTCTCTACCCAACTTTGGGTCATGGATCCGTTTGAAAACCTGATGAAAGAAATAGAATTTACTGCCAGCCCCCCGCCCCCACTGCAACAGCTAACTGCATATACACGAGTAACATTTTGCAGACGATGTAAGAGAATCTCAACTACTTAAAGCTCATCTGCTGACCCTGCTGTGTCCCTGGACTTAGGGGGTTAAGAACCTCAGTCACGGTGAGGGTCGGGCAAATGGAATAAAATTCTATATGGATCTTATCAGGGACACACAGAATGCCAGGAGAAGAAATGAGGACTTTGAAATGAAATGTTGTTCCCAGTTAGGTGTATCAACTCTACTGTGAATACTGGCCTCCGAATTTTTCTTAACGCTATGAAACAATTCTATGGCCCAAATGCTTACTGACAGTAAAGAGGGGAAACAGAGGTGGTGGGGAGAGGCACTGACCGCTCTAAGAGCCACAGTGGCACACATCTGACTTAGTCTGCACAACTGTCCGCCTAAGAATGAGCTCACTACGTGTCCCTCTTTCCAGTGATCTACATAAATGGCAGAGGTTTCGAAGGTCAGAGAGTTAAACAAGACTACCTTTCTCTGGGGTATTGTTGGGGAAAGCGAACCAGCACAGAGCTCATGGGGTCTTATATAGTCAGGGAAGACAGAGAAATTTTAAGTCCAAAACAACGAAAGAGGCATTAAATGAGTGAATACTGTGGCCGGCTGACTGAAGTGCCAGCCCAAGTAACACTTAGTAAAGCCCTGAGAGACTGAAGAAAACACAATGGAGGGACAACTCGGGGGGAGACAGAGAAAAGACCCAAAAAGCGAGGGAGCTGGGAAGGCTCCCGTACAGCTTCAGTTTTCGCGCGTTGAACCATGAAGCTACATTATGACTTCGTATTCGAAGCTACTTTTAAGTTTTCGGACAGAACCACCTCCATGGTATTGCTTGTGTTGACCAATTCCTCATTTTAAAAAGGATGATGAGTATCCTCTCACCAGCCCGCTAGTCCTGCATAGATACTGATGATGACCGCGATCACAGCTAACATTTATTGACTGCTACTGCTAAGCTGGGGGCTGTGCTGAGCTCTACATAAACAGTCTCAGTTAGTTTTTATAACAAGCCTTTGAGAAAGATACTATTATTATCCCCATTTTAAAGATGAGGAAACTGAGGCTTACAGAAGTCACATAACACAGTTATTAGATATTGTAGTCCCCTAACCCCAGAAATCAGGGCTACAACATCTAATTCAAATGTTTTAAAAACAAGAATATACAAGAGTTTATTTTCATCACACAGGATCTCAACAGTCAACCAAAGAGAACTCTATTCCCACATGTCTGTGACTGAACTCTGTTGTCATGCTTCCGTGTGGGCCAAGGCAGCAGCCCTGTTACAGGTACTCAGACACAGGAGGTGAGATGCGTCTGTGCACACATTGCATACCACTGTGTTCGTTGTATGTGCACAAATTGTACACCACTGGGTTCGTGGAGAATAGGAGCTAAATCTATAGTAAAAACAAATTCATCTTATAACAAGGTGCTTAAGGAGATCTTGGTTCTAAGTTGGAAATTTATTTGAACATAAAAAGCCTCCTCAAAATAACTTGTTTAAACAGGGAGTTACCCCCCCACCACACACACTTTTTGCCTCAAATCTCACTGTATTGCTCATTTAATGTTACCTGAGAGAGACATGTCTTTATTTATTAGCATCTTCACTTGCTCTTTTCTTAGTTTCTGCTGATGAATAAACAATGGCAACAGTGCACACTCTTCTGTATTTTACCTAACGTCACTTCTTTTTAAGTTTCAGCTTCTGGGACATGTGATGTCCAACAGCAGAGCCTGCTGTGGAGGAAGCATTCTGGGTTCACCCCAGTTCTAGAATGCTATGACTTCAAGGACTGACAACCAATAACCATTTTCCCTTGTTTTATATTGTCCTATATATAAAAGCAAGGCACTCTGTCAAATAAAAAGCGGCTTCTTCTAAAGTAGGCATCGAAGCTGCATAACGTTTGACTTAGGTTTCCTTATAAATGTTCAAAATGTTGAGACACATAAAAACGCAGCAGCGATTCACGGCCGACAAGTTGTCATACTCTTGAATCCTAAAGGTACAAACCTGGTAGGCAGATACAGGAGATGCAATATAGGGTGTAAGAGAAGTTTGAGTGATCATTCGGTTTGTAGCAATACTGTATGGTGAAGGATAAAATCTAGAACAAACACAAAAGCCTTTATTAAGTCATCCTTTAAAAAGAATAATTCCCGGGACAAATGTCTGATATTTTCCACCTTCACATTTTCCCTCAAGCCACCATGCATTTATCTTAATGACATACCCGTTCTGTATAGCAGCTGTGGTTGGGTCATAAGTAAGTGTCATTCCAGCCTATGGGAAAGCAAAAGAAACAGAATCACTTATCCACAAGGGCACGGTTTAAAAATTCCATTTCTTAGAGTCATGGCAACACAAAATAGAGATAGTTCAGTAGCATTTGATGAAATCTGACGTTTCTTTTAGACAAACATACCCTCAATGTAAGAATTAAGCTCTTTGCACTGATCCATTCGGTAGTCATTAGCTGTGTGCAGCTATTTAAAATTAAAGGAAAAATGGAGTCCCCCCAGCTCACTGGCTATATCCCAAGTGGTCAAAGAACCACATGTGGCTCGTGGTTATCACCGGACAGCGCAGACTCTAGAACGTTTCCACTGGATGGCACTTCCCTAGACATTCTTGAACCAGTAAGAATTTTACTTTAAAAAAAATTCATTGAAAATACAGAGAAATGGCCATCCAATATTTTTAAGCAATTGTTTTTTTTAAGAACCTTATTCAAAAGAATTAGACAAAACAAAAACTCAACAGCAAATACGTTATTTGTTTTAATAACATTTCAGGATAATTTCCGAGTAATTATAAATGTAAACCTTTAAGAAACCATGACATTAGGAAAATACAAAACAGTTGTGCATTTCTTACAGCAATTCAAAATGCTCTTTCACTTTACATGCAGCTAACTGGTAAACCTCACTCTACCTACCACCTATCTGCCCGTCTGGAAGGTCATCCCCCTCTTAGCACTGTATCTGTTGGGAAGAGTTTTAAAGTGACAATATCTGGACTCTAAAGTCCTATTTCAGAAGTCTGGCAGCCAGGACGCGGCTGGAGTAACTATTCACGTAGGCTCTCATCATCATACACCCGCACGGAAGTCTCAAGAAGGGACTTACAAGTCTCACCTCTCCTTCTCGATGCCACGGTCTTCCGTTAGGGATGTATTTGTTTGGGTTCTGCCTCTTCTTCTGTCCTCCGTCCGCAAACTTACACAACAAAGGTTCTGTAGGAGCTGAATAAATGGGGACAAATTATAAAAAACCAGAATTATATGTGTATGTAGGACAAAATGTAATGGACTCTTTTTCAACAGGAGCAGTGTCCGTGCTGGAAGGGAATGGATAGAACACGTCAAAGCCAAAGTTTTCTCTTTCTTATCTACTGTTTTTTTCTAAAGTTTTTTTCTTTCTTATCTACTGGTGAAGAAGATGGTGCAGAAAATATATTAGTTACTATTTTCAAACAGGAGTCTAATGAACACATTTGAAGAGCTATTCAGAGGAATCAAAAGAATCCCTCGATTCATTTTTGTACTTCCTTCTTTAAGAAAGATTTTATTTATGTATGTACTTGAGAGAGCGTGCATGAGTACGAGCAGCGGAGTGAGGCAGAGGAGGAAGCAGACTTCCTGCTGAACAGGCAACTTGAGCCCTGGACCCTGGGGTCACAACCCCAGCAGGAGGCAGACGCCCAACCAACTGAACCACCCAGACCCTCGCCTCTGTACTTCTTTATGTGCAGACACACTTGTTTTCAGTTCTGCTGATTCATCTCCAAATGTAAATAAGATTTTGTTACCCTTCCCTCCTCCAACTTTAAAATGCTCCCTTAGCCTCCCATCATCATTCTTCAAAGAGGTCTTCACTTACCCCAGGACAAAACAATTTCCCCTTTACACTGATCACACCATATTTCAAAAAAATTTTTTTTAATTTTTATTTGTATTTTTATTCAGAGCCACGAGAGCCTGGAGTGTGGTGATTTGTTTGGAGTCTGTCTCCCCTCTGGTGTGTAAGCTCCATGGGGGCAGTGACATTTGCTTCGTCTGTCACTTGTGTCCCCAGTGCATGTTGTAGGTGCTCATTGATCTAGGCTGAATGAATGAATACCAATAGGTCTCATTTCCTTATCTGTGGGGAACAGCCTTGAAGACAGCTGTTGTAAGAAAGGCAAAACACCTGTCCACGCTATTTAAAGTTTTTTTCTGTGCCGTTAATCATTCCTCTTGGGGCTGCTTTACTATATACCCACATTATAAAATGATCTGAAGAACAACTCAAGAAACTCACACGGAAAAGCAAAAGATGCAGAGACTCTCACAGAGGGATACACACTCATTAGTTAAGAAGAAAAAAAGGTGGGGAGGGGGGAGGGGGGAGAGGGGATGGTATGGTAGTTCACCCCGGACTTTTCATTTTCTTTGCTTTTCCATAATGGAAATAGCAGTATATTTCTGAAGGTGGTGCGGATTTCTGTAGGTTTCCAGTTAATGTAATAAAGGCAATCACACCTTCCTGTCTGGTTCTCACATTCTGTCCTTTGTCTTCTGCTGGAACTGTGATTACTACTTTCAAGCTCTGTTTCAAAGTTAAATAACCAGGAAGAGAAAAATATTACTTGTGGAAAATTTACTCCTTTCTCCTTTGCCTCTTATTATCCTAATTCATCTCTTATTTTATATCACTGTTACCCACCCACTAATGACAGGGTGGAAGCAACAGTGCCTCTCAACACTTCTCTGCCAAAAAACAAAACACAACAAAAAACCCAACTGTAATTCCTTCTCTGCGAGCTGTCTAGGCTGTTGCTTTGGCATGCCTTCCTCCTGTCCCCAGTGTGAACCAGGCCAGAGGGATGGGCTGGAATGTGAGCTCACTTCCGAAAGGCAGCTATACTATTGGAACCAGGAGGTGAGAGCAGAAATGTCAGGCGTCTGGTGTGAATACCAGGGAGCCTTGGCCCCTACCTCTGTTTACCTTCTGACTCCCACCACCCCCAGCCCCCAGGCCTTCCTGAACAGGGAATTTCCATTTAAGGCAAATGGGTGGGAAGGAAGATACATTGGGGCCGAGTCCTAGCCTGAAGACGAATTACTCCGTCTTTTCAGAGTAATTCAGAGTAATACCTTTTTCCGAGTAACAAGGTACCAACTTTTGGAAATCCCTGCATCCACCAACAATGTCCAAGGTAAAGGAAGTGGATGCAATGAAGCAAGAGGGCTTTCTCATCAGTGAACGATGCTTTTAATTCTACGACTGGGCTGTCTGGAAACAGGTGGAAATGAGGGCCAGGAGAACACAGCTTTCAGGTAGAAGGGAGGGATAACGGGCAAACCGCCGGAGCGTTGGGAGCATTCTTCTGCCAGGCTTGAGGATGTCCCACCTTGGTATCTAAGGACAAACAGAGAACTCAGAGAGAAGCCAAGAGCTCACTCTTCACGGATCCATAGGTGCTTAGGGTACTGAATATTTTCTCCAGTGACACGTTTTATAATTTGTAGCCCCCACAATCTTGGAGGGCAAGAGAATATAGTAAATTCTTCAGCATTAGCACTTCACGGGACTTCACTTTAAGGAGACAGCTTTATCTAGAGGCATTGTGAAGACCCGCTCGTCGACGGAAATTAAACACTTTTCAAAGAGTCTCCTTGACAAGTGAGTAATGCAAATGCAAACCACTTTCCTCCCTTAGCATCATTTCTTCCAGAGAAAGAAGGCAACCAGGTTGGACAAATTCTGTGAGTTCACTACAGGCTGCTGAAACGCCCCATTCGCTCAAAGGCCACGTGTCCCCATCTGTGGTAAGGAGCTACCACAACACTGTCATTTTTCTAGACCATGCTCTGTCCAAAAAAAAAGAAAAAAGCCATCTTATGAAACCATAAAGCCTGCTAAAAACATGCAATGATGAGGTAAACAGTGAGGAGGCAAATCAAGTGAACGATGACACATTTGCAGACACATCACTCAAATCCAACAAATGGAGCAGGATGTAGGTGAATCAATCAAAAACGAATTATATTTACTACATGATTTTGTGCTATCGTTAAGATAGTTTCCTCCCTCTAAGAGCAAAAAGGTACCGAGTTAAAACAGTAGGATATTGCAGCTTAGGAAAGCAAATTTCTCTTTTTAAAGAATTACTGCCAGGGGCACCTGGGTGATGCAGTAGGTTGGGTGTCCGACTCTTGGTTTCAGCTCAGGTCATCATCTCAGGGTCATGGGGTCGAGCCCCACATCAGGATCCATGCTCAGCAGGGAGTCTGTTTGTGATTTTTTTCTCCCTCTCCCTCTGCCCCGCCCACTGGTACATTTTTCTCTTTCTAAAATAAATCTCAAAAAATTTTTTTAAAAAAAGGATTATAAACAATTGAAATTAGAGGGTTTTTTTTTTAAGATTTTGTTTTATTTGTCAGAGAGAGAGAGAGACAGAGTATGTGCACAAGCAGAGGGAGAGCAGCAGGCAGAGGGAGAAGCAGGCTCCCTGCTGAGAAAGGAGCCCAACACAGACTCAATCCCAGGACTCTGGATCATGACCTGAGCCAAGGCAGACATTTAACTGACTGAGCCACCCAGGCGTCCTGAAATGAGAGATTTTTTACATAGTTGTTGGCTCCCCGTTTTAGGGAAATAGTAGTGCCCCAGTATTCCATGCGAGGCAAAACAAAATTCAAATAGCTTCTTCCCTCCGTTAAAATTCTCTTTGGTCTACTTAGCAGCTGAAACTTGTATTGAGTGCCTACTATGTGCAAGGTATAGTGTTAAGAACTAGGGTTATAGTTGTGGATAAAATATGGTCTTATTTCGTAGGAGCTTCTGCAATATAATGAGGAGAGTGTACAAAATCTTATGAAACCACATTTAGCCATTTATGGGATAGAGCACTGTTTTGAGACATGCCTGTTGTTAATAAAAATGCCTTCCAGAACCAAAATACTTTTGATACTGAGACAGCTGTTTCTTTTACAGTTTACCTGGTACTTCATGTACCTGAAAGGCATTATGAGAAACATTTTATCCTTGTAAATTCTTGATACCTGATTTACTACATGAATTGTACCACCATGTGCTCTAGGGAAACAACTATGTCAAGATTTCTTTAAGATACTTATATTACCATTAAGCTGAGCAAGGGTTAGAAGATTTCAGTTAGATTTCTGAATTGAAGGGCGCCTGGGTGGTTCAGTCAGTTAAGCATCTGCCTTCAGCTTGGGCTGTGATCCCAGGATGCTTGGATCAGCGGAGACCCTGCTTCTCCCTCTCCCTGACTCCTGCTCATGCTCTCTCTTGCTCTCCCCCTCTCTCAAATGAATAAACAGAATCTTAAAAAAAAAAAATTTTTTTTTCTGAATTGAAAACAAACAAATACACCCAGATCTGTGTCATGGCTCACCTATTTTTAAGTATGTGGGAGATGGTTAGAAAATAAGACTTGCTTATTTGATTACCATATTCTGTGGCTTACTTCAAAGCAGACCAAAAGTCTCTAGAGTTTATGTTTTGAAGCCTAACACACAGGTTCCAGGTTTTAGACGGAGATGCATGGGATGCCATTTTGTTCTACATATTAGATCCTTTAGGTGCCCTCCTTGCTGTTCTTTTTAGAAGGAACATACCAAAGAGGACTGACGTACAGAAAAGGAAGCGCTGTGAATATTAGTAATACGACTATGATCAATAGGTAAATCTGGGCATATTAACTTCAAAAAATTAACATACAACAGACAACCCTTATCTTCCATAGGGTCAGTTTTCTAGATTAGCAATTCTTCATCTTATTGTGCAAACAGTAATTGCTAAGAGTCCTAACAAGTGATCTGTGACTCAAGATATATTCCTGGATTAAAGGGTTATAAAAATTTTTATCAAACTACGCATAATCAATTGATTTTGTCAAATGTACAGAATATTCGAAGTTGAAATCCCCCTTAATTAATCACCATCTTCTGGGCTTGTAAAGGGTAGGCCTCAGATGTCTTGTGACATCTTTCAGGTCAAATTCTCTTCTTTATTACCCAAGACAGAAAAGTTCCCTTCTTGTTCATCACAACCAACAGGAACGTGAAATTCTGAAAGCTTAAGCGCTTAGTATAACCTTCAGCAGACAGTGCCACAAATGCAAACGCTGATCTGGTATTTGTTGGCACCTCTTGAGAGCCAACTAACATGATGGCATTGTAGGATTCTCCAACACGCCCTCAATAGGGCTTCGTGAGGTGGGTGATCTTTTACT